CGGCCGCCGCGCCCGCGGGGAGACCGCCCCGGAGCGGGCCGGGGTGCGGGGCTGCCCCGGAGGGCAGCGGGGACGCCTCATCCCGCGCCCTCGCTCGGCCGGTCCCCGGCGGAGCAGCGGGGGGAGCGGGCAGGGCCGTAGCCTGCGGGTCCCGGGGGTCCCCGCGGGGTCCCCTGCCTCCCTCCTGCCCTTCCCAGCCCGGGCGCGGGGCCGGTCGGCGCCGCCAGTTGCGGGAATCACGGCAGAAAGCGCGGCTTGGTAAAACCGCACCGGGGCCAGAGAGCAGCAAACGACCCGGTGCGGCCACAAAAGGACCGGTGCGGTGTCCCGGTGCGGGTCTGCTCTCACACGGCTCCTCTCACCCCCCCGCCCGGGCACACACCGAGCAAGGGTCGGGTCACCCCCCGGGCCCCGGCAGCGGGAAGGAAGGGGCAGCAGCAGACCCCCCCCCTGCTCCGGCGGGGCTGAGGCGGGGGGCACACACCGCTGCCATCACGGCGAGCGGGTTTCAGCCGTGCCTTTGCCATCGCCAACCCCCCCGGGGTGGCACGTCGGGGCCATCCCTCCGGAGCGGCGAGCCGCCGGCCCCCTGCCCGCCCAGCACGGTCCTGGCAGCCGGCATCGCTGGGCACAGCGCCCGCCCCACAGCCCCCAAGGTCCCCAGCACCCCGTCCCCTGGCACGTCACCGCACCGGGGACACCGCCACCCTCCTGCCAGGCAGCCCGAGGGGCACTGGGACGTGGGGTGGTGTGGCACTGCGGGGACTGCGGGGGGATGGAGGCAGGCTGGCAGGCCACGGAGGGGCAGGTGGGCAGCGAGGAGGTGGGCAGGGGGGACAGGAGCAGAGCCTGTGGGGACAGGAGCCTCCGTCACGGAGCTGGCAAGCAGGGACCTGCCTGCACCGGCCAGGTCCTGTGCCCCCCACATGCCCCACTGCAGGGGACCACTACCCAGACGTGTCGGGCTGTGCCATGTCACCCCAGGCCGGGCTGTGCCACACCGTGCCAGGCTGTACCACGCTCTGCCAGGCTGTGCCACAGTCTGCCACGCTGAGCCAGCGTCGTGCCGTGCCGTGCCAGGCCATGCAGCTGGTGCCAGCCCTGCGCTTCCCGGTGCCGTCACTGTCCCCCCATCCCGGCCCTTCAATCAGTAACGCCGCCGCAGCAGCCCTGTCCTTGCGTTGGATGTCATCCTTATCTGGGGCTGATAACCATCTCCACCTTTGTCAAGGTCCCACCCCCACTCTGTCTTTCTGGTAACCAAACGGGGAGGGATGGGGGGAAATGTCACCTTTTTGATAGGATCAGCGAGAGTTCAGCCTGGGTTGGGCACCAGGAGTGAAATTCTGGGAAGGGCCAAGGGGGGAGAGGGGCGCAGGGGGGCTGTGGGCAGGGTGCCCAGCCAGCCCTTTGTGGGCTCTGCTTTGGGACGTGCAGAAATAGCATGGGGCTCGTAAAGAAATGCAGCTGGTGAGTGAAAATGGCTGAGCCCAGTCCAGAAATGGCTGTATTTCCTATTTTTCCGAGGCGAGACACCACAGGCCGCTCCCCGGGGCAGCCGGAGCCTCCCTAACGAGCAGGCTGTGTGTGACAGCACCCACTCTCCCTACAGGATCCCACTGTGGATCCCAAAGGCTAACGATCCGTTTCTCTCCATGCTGCCGTCACCGCGCGTCTCTGGAGCTGGCGGTGTTTTCCAGGCTGCTTTTCGGCACTGACCGAGTGGGTATAGAATGAAGCTCCCCCCAGCCCAGCTCCCCCCCGCCGTTGTCAGCCTGTGGTGGAAAAGAGAAAAGAAAGGAAGAAGAAAAAGCAAGCCCTGGCGTGAGGTGCCTTTGTTCAGGGCAAGTTATGCGTGAAATCTTTTTGTCCTTCCTAAAGGAAGGCAAAAGTTGCAGTTGATTTGGGGAAAAGAGAGGCGGGCGCAGCCCTGCGGGGGCGGGCAGGGGGGTGGGTGGGCAGACCCCGATGGGAGCCAGGAGCCACAGATGTGCTGGCGTCCTTCTCCTTCTTTTCCTTTCCTCCTCTTCCTTTTCCTCTCCCTTTCCCCTTCCCTTTTCCCAGGAGAGCTGAGGTTGGAAGGTCCCCCTGGAGACCGGGCACTCCAGCCCCTGCCCAAACGGTGTCACACACACGTGTGAGCTGGTGGCAGGACATGGGATACCTTTTCAGGTGCTCAGCTCCATCCCCTCCTGCCGTTCCTGGGGACCACCAGCGCTCTCTTACAGAGTGGGAACCCTTACCTAAAAATTAAGATTAATCGTATTTTGAATTTTAGCTCCGTAGGTCTGCAAAGATCTCCTACCATGTTTCACAACTTAAATGAAATACAACTTTTTGTTGCACCAAAAAAAACCCAAAACTGCACTGTTTTACTTGATTGTGTATCGATCTCCTTTTCTTTGAGGAAAGCCGGCCGCGGTCAGCTCTCTCGGTGGGCACCTCGCCCCCTTTTCGTTGGCTGGGGGGCACTTGGTGCCAGTGGGGTGCTGCTGGTCGGCGTGAGACACGGTTCCCCTCGGGAAGGCAGGAGGGTGGCAGAGAGCAGGGTGGCCGTCTGCCCACCATGGTGGGGTGCAGGCTGGCACGGGGGGGTGCCGCTGGCAGGGGCATATGCCAGCACCTTCGCTGCGCCAGTCATTGCGATCAGCTATGCTCTCTTTAACTTAACAGAGGAAAGATGAGAAATTGATTTTTTAATTTTCTTTTTCCCTGGCAAAAGGATATTTTCCAAATTCGGGAGATAAGGCCCCACTTTGACCTTTTCTTTTGAAACCCGTACCCCATTATTGCGTCCTGTGATTATGTTGTATTACACGGGGGCAGGGGGGCACCTAATTCTGGCGTCTTGCCACACTGATGTCAAAATCTTTCCATGGGTGATCAACCCCACAAAGGTATAAATACCAGTGCGGCTGTAACCATCGTGGTGGGTACGTCACCACGGTGCCCGTCCTGTGCCTGCCACACCGTGGGCAGCACCAGGGGACAGCTCTGCCCTTCTGCCCCTGCCTCGGCTCCCCGGGGCCCCCGCACCCCCCCCTGCGGGATGGAGGATGCTGGGGTGCCCTTTGGTACCCAGGTGATGCCGTATGGCACGGGCAGGGCTGGCAGGAGCGGTGCCGGAGAGCCGGGGCGGCCGCTTGGCTGCTTCCAACCTAACGAGCTCGGGCTGCCCAGCGGGGAGCGGCGTTCCCTGCCTGCATGGCTGCCTTTGCCAGAGGCTTTCCCTCCGCTCTTGGGGGAGGGAGGAGGGAAGGTTCTTTGTTAGTTTTCCTCCTTCTCCCTGCCTGCAGCCAGGACTCCCTGAGCCGCTGCCGGGTGCCCTGGCTTCCCCGTGTTGGGTGCCCAGGGGCCGGCGGGACGGGATGGCCCTGGGGGCTGACCTGGGGGCATTTGCCCCAGGCTTTCCCGCTCGGTGTCCTTCTTTTTTTGGCTGTGGCTCCCCACGGTGTTTGAATTTCAATTCCTCTCCTCTTTTGTTTGGCAGGGGTTTGACCCCGTGGGTTCCTCCAGCACCCACAGCCGGCTCTGAGCGTGGGGAGGAGAAGGGCCTGGCCCTTTGGTGCTGCAAAACCGGCTGAAAACCACCCAAAAAAGGGCACGTCCAGGGGTTCATCCCCTGCACCCACAGCCCTGCAGACACCGCTCACGCTGGTGCAGAATGTGGCAGGGTCAGCTTCCCTTAAAACAGCTGCCGGGAGCTGGTCAGGGACAGCACACACCATTTTCACCTGCCTTTAAACAAACATTGCAAGTGTTTTCTTTTGGAATGTTGAAATTGCGCTTGCAACTCCTTTCTTCTCTGCAGAGGGCAGAGGGGCAGCTCCAGCCCCCGGTGACGTCTTCCCAGTGACGGCAGCGCGCGGGTCCAGAGGGGACCTAGACCTGTATGGCCCTGGGACTACGGTTTGCTCCTGGGAGGCAGAACCAACCTTCCTTGAGATTTTCTCCTCCCAGACAAGTCGGACAATCTGGGTATTTTTCCCTAGAGTTTTTCAGGGGGCAGTTTAGAGGGTAAAATGTGGCTGAGAAAGCTGAATGCAGCTTTATCAGTGAAAAATGAGCCCAGGAAAGAGGGCTGAGGGGCTACCTGGGGCAAGCAAAACCTCACCCGGGCTACTTGCCTCCACTGCTGGCACCCCCTGGCTCCCTTGGATTTCTCAGTGGGAAGATGAAGGAAAGGATTTTTCCTCTTCCACCACTACACCAGAAATTGGGTTTTGGGGCAACAAATCCCAGCTGGAGTGGAGCTTGCTGGGCTGGGTTTCCACCAGCCCCTGTGTCCCCATCCCTGGTGTCCTGGCCAGGCAGGAGCAGCAGCTCTCCCGGGTGGGCAGTGCAGTCCCCGTGGCACAGTGTGGCAAAACCAGTAGGTGCTGGGCTGCGGTGGTGGCTGGGGCAGTGGTGGGTGGTTGCTTGCTCGGGGGTTTCAGCTCCACACCTCTCATGGGACATCCCCGGCTGGGCGCACCCCGTCCCCCGCTGCCAGAGGGGCATGGTGGCCACCCCGGCGTGGCTGATGGCACACTTGGCCGGCAAGGACCATGGTTAAAGATTAAAACTGGATCCAGTTTGCAATATTTATCTTGGGAGCAGGAGGGCCCCAGCTTGTTTGGTTTGTGGGAAGAGTTGGGAAAGAGTGACGTTGGCGAGGAGAGACCCAGCAGGGCTGGCCCTGGGGGCGAGCGGGGCTTTGGGGGTGCTGGGGTGGGCAGGAGGGGGAGAAAACCCTGGGCAGGGACCCACATCAGTGGTGAGCCCTGGGGTCAGGAGGTGGCTGCTGTGGAGGTGGCACGGTGTCCTGCCTCTGGGTGTGGACAGGGGCACCACCATGGCTTCCAGGATAAATCTATTAAATCTGTTAGATGTTAGGGATGGGAAGCATGCACGCAGCACAGACAGGTAATGCTTTTTCATTTCTATTGCACTAAAAGTTACCTCCTGAAGCATTTTTCACAGGTTAATAGCTGGCTGCCTGGACTGTCAGCCCAGCTCTGGAAACAGCCCCGCAGATGTACTGGGACAGTCAGCTGGACTGGCTCTGTACTGGTTCTCTGGTCTGTACCAAAGTGTGGCATTTACATGTATTTTGGTGGCTGGCCGGGGGATGTGGGGCCATGTTGATTGCAGAGCCTCTTGTCATGGTGTCCTGCGAGGAGCCCACAGCAGGACCTGGCACCAACACCTCACCCCTCTCCCCACAGACCCCTCTTCGTCCCACACCTCAGCTAAAGCCTGGGCTGCGTCGAAGCCCTTTTGCCAGGGTGGGGTGGCCGTGGTGTGCTTTCATACCATTTGATGCCCATTCCCAACCCCCCCGGCGTAGCCTTGAAAATATGGGAGGCTTTTTCCTGTGAGTGATGCCCTGGTGCTGGGCAGAGCGTGCCCGCGGCACGGCCCCCCCGGCGCAGAGCCCGGTTATCACCGGCGGTACGCGGGGCGGGAAGCAGTCAGAAGGAAGAGGCGGACACGGCTGAGTTTTACAGACTTCCAATGCACAATAAAACATTTTTATTTAAAAACAACGCATTCAATATTGTGTTTTGGCACGCGTCAATGTTGCAGGCACATTCACACCAAAGAATCACGTTGCCGAGAGGTCCCGGAGGAGCGGTGGCCTCCTTCTCCGGGGAGGATGCTCACGACGAGGACGCGGTTACTCCGCCACGAGAAGAGGGGGCCAGGGCCTCGCTCACCAGCATGCCCAGGGCACGCTGCCCCCCGGCCGGGGCCGCGGGGGCTCTCCCGGGGAGCAGGGCTGGAGGCCAGCTGGGCTTGCAGCCTGTTTCACACCCTGCGCGCGGCTTCGCCCTTCACCTGAGACTGTGCCCTGGCCCCTTACGAACAATTAGCCATTGAAAAATAAATAATGCTTTTAGTATGGCCGATAAATAATGAATCCTTTATTACAATTATGGCATTTTTTTTCTTTTTTTTGTTTTTTAAATATTTATCTTATTTTTTTATTGAAAACAACTCCGTCAGGCATTGAACTGTATAGCCATTAGAATAAAGACACATTCATTTACAGAAAACCTGCTTTTTTCTAAACGATCTGTTTTTGCAACCTCCGTTCACAGTTAGTTATATTTCACAAACGCTTGCTTTTTGGTATACTCCACAATTAAAACCGGCAGCCAAAATGACTTTGTTTCAGCGTCTCTTGCTACCAGCCACTGAAAAGATGCAAGCAACGCAAATACAAACCCGAGATGTGTAAAAGAAGAGAAGGTAACACACGTATTTCCACCCTTATGTACAGCCTTTCTTCACACCCCCTGCCCAGCAGCCTGACCACCCCCCCGTCGCCCGCAGCACCCATCCCTCGGCGGAGGGGATGGAGCAGGATGTGGCCACCGCTTGCCTCCGGTGGCTACCGTGTGCAGTACACTGTCCAGGCAGCCTGGGGGTGAGTGGGCTCCGCGTCCCACTGGACCCTTCCCCTGGAGCTGGCCAGAAGGGATTCTCCTGATTTTGTAAACGAAAATGTTTTGTACTTACAAATATTGATCGCGTCTTGTTTCGCATACGTTTGTTTAGTGATATTCTCCTCACCAGACATTCAGTACCCGTAGCCAGTGCTGTCCCCCAGCCAGCAGGAACTCGCTTAGGTAGACGGAGGCAGGAAGATTTTGGGGTAAGGAGATGGGAAGGAAGAGTCCAGCCCCAGTGGTACCCAATGGAGGTGCCACCTGCGGGTCCTGGCACCTCCCTGCCCCTGGGACCCACATTCCATAGCGGGGAGCAGCTCAGGGCACCTCATTTCCTACAAAACCAGAATTGCCCACGTCATAATCCAGCACAGAGAGAAAAGGAGGCCGAGCCCAGAGCCGTCAGGGCAAACCCCACTTTGCTGCTCTGGGACGCACAGCACCCCAATACGAGATCCTACCCGAAAACCAGCCTGAAAATGGGGGATTTGGGAAAGAGCCCAGTCTCACCACAAAGTATCGGGGGGTCTTGTCCTGCCTGGGGGAGCAGAGCCCACCCTGGGCCACTGCTGGTCCCAGCAGTCGGCACGAGGTGCCCTTCCCTTCCAGTCCCTCTATAAAAGCAGAATTCAAAGAGCATCCAGGAAAACAGGCAAAAACAAAAGATGCACATTTTAAGATGGTTTTCCACATTGCAAGAGCTCGGACAAAAAATATTGATACTAAGAAGCAATTTACTTTGGGCTGTATTGCGCCATTGATTTTGGGGCAGAACTCCCCATTAAAATCAATGATTCTGAAATGTTCAATGTGGTTCTGAAAAATCGATGGGGAGTTTTGCTTAAAAATCAATGATATAATATGGCGCTCTGTCAATAATTTTTCTGTATTCCCATTTCCGAATATTTGCAGTCGTTTTCGTGCTTCCTCCTCTGCACTCAGTGCCTCTTTGTGCCTCTGGAAAGTTCCAGCTTTGCTGCCAGGGCCATCTCCCGGCACCGACGGGGGGTCCCGTCCCTCTCTGGGGGTGGGAAGGGGCTGCAGGGCACTGGGGCTCCCCAGAGACCCCTCCAGCTGGGTTTGCTGGTAATAATGGGACCGTGCCACAAGCAGGATGAGCCAGAGGGAGGCACTCCCTTTGCTTCAATTTAGCAAGATCAAATTAAGGTACTGTGCATTAAAACACCTTTCTGTCACCATCCTCTCCACAATCTGGGGGTGCAGCGGGGCGCCCCAGACCCCCCATTGCCAAGCACAGCCTCAGGAAACAGGCTGGGGGGGAGGGTTGTGGGGAGAAGAGAAATTCCAACCGGGGGCAACTTCCCCAGGTTTATTGTGACTGGCAAGGCAATTGAATTTTTAAAAACAAATAATGAGGAATCCTGCACTGGGGCAGTTTATGCAGTTCATTAACAAACTCTTCCTTCCCTGTGCAACTCCTCTTTTTTGTTTTGGGGCAAAAGGAACCCGCCTGCTCCAGAAGGGTACCCCACAGGACTCGGGGGGGGCTGGCGCTGCTGGGGTCTTCCTGGCCCCACATCTCCCTGCTCGGACACACCGTCCTGGCGTCCTGTGACCCCGCAGACCCTCACACCAAGAGGACCTGAGGGGTCAGGGGGCTCAGTCCTTCCCCCAGGGCCGCCTGCCCTTGCTCTCTGTGGGGGTCTGCACCCAGCAGAGCCCAGCTGCTCCCTGGCCCTCGCGCCCGACTGCGACACAAAGAATAGGTGATAATATCAAGCACGACTCGTAGGGCACCATATGGCATCAGACACCACCATCACTGCACAACTATGTCTCCGCAATCACAGCTGGGAGAGGCCGTGCCGTGCCGTGGGAGCGGTGAGGAGTGTGGGTCTGACATGACAGCACGGGGAGCCGGAGCCCGGGAACGCCGAGCTGCCGGCGGGAGGGGGTCTGTGCACGCCGCGGCACCGGGGGGACCCTCCACAGCACGCCCTACACAGCCTTTGGAAAAGCAAAAGCCAGAAACCATGGGGTAATTAAAATGGGGGGGGAAGATAAGCCAACCAGCTCCCCCTCCAGCTGGGGCACGGGGAGAGGGAGGGCACGGCTTCGGGGGGCTGCGGTGCCACGGCAGCGGGCACCGGGGGATGCTCCGGGGCCACACCGTACTCGAGATCTCCTTCCTCACCTACGTCTGCCTGTAGGCAAAGAGGCTGAGAAAAATTAAAATGTGCCGTCTTAAAGTATGACTTTAAACTGGATTTTTGCACCTTCTTTCAGCGCATAGTCAGTTCCCAGCATCATACAGAATAGTAGAAAATTGTTAAAATACTTGTAAGCGTACTAATTGTAATAAGAAACCCAACTACTTCACAGGCTTCTTTATCCTGAGTCATAATGGCCAACATTTTCAAACCTAAGTGACACTAAGGTTTGTCCTCTCTACAAACAGCCTGGTTTTCAGGGGTACCGAGGGAGCCGCGTGGTCCCGTGACCGCCCAGGGTGGCTGTTGGTGAGGGGAAACCGGGGGCACTGACTTAGTTGTCTGGCTGTGGATTTAGAGATGCAAATGGGATAAATCTGGTAACTGCATTTCCTCTTCCCTGCGCTCCTGCTGCTCTCGCTTCCCTTTAAAACCCATTTTTAAAAGTCCCGGTGCCCGACTGCCAGCAGCAGCCCAACTGTGGCTACTGGACCACTGGGTCCCTGCCCAGGCACCCTGCTCCTGGGGAGGACCACCCTGGCCACCGCGGGGGGACACCTGGAGACTTGCTGACCCAAGGGGCCGGCTGGCCCGTCTGCCCCGTCACCGTTAATTGGGCTAATGAAGGCTATTACTGCTCCCTACAGACCCGGCATCGCTGGGCCCCCATGGCCACCACGGGATGGAGGGGATTTTGGGTGGGATGCACCGAAAAGCAGAGTGCAGCTCAGCAAGGGGGAACACCGGGTACCAGGAGGGGGAGAGGGGGATCTGTGGGTGCAAAGGGACAGGCAGGAGCCCCCGTGCTCTCTGCTCGGGGGGATCGTCCTCCCAAAGGACCCCCCATAGTCGGGGGTTGTGGAGAGCAGGCACAGAGGGGGGTGCCCACACGGGGGTTTGGGGCTCTTCTCCCCCAGCACGTCTCCAGAGAAACCCAACTCCACTCATGGCAGCGGTTTAACTTCAAAATCACGAGACCAAATGGTACGGCACGGGAGGGAATGTCCTGTTTCAGCCTGGCTGGTTTGGACTGGGATTTGGCCCAAACAGAATTAAAACGCTGAAGTGCTCTGAGAGCAATACAAATGCCTAGCTAAGGTACAAGCCATATTGTGACCTTCTTCTTTACATTATTCTTTAAAAAATGTAAAATTCAGTAAATACGAAAATATGCAAGCGGTGGAAGTCCGGATCCACACTGAAGAACTTGCAAGGGATGATGAACTGGAATTCAGAGTGGCTTTCTCAACCCACCATGGCAATATATGTATGCTGAGCTATTGATAGCAACATATACAGGAGAAGCAAAACCTTTTAAAATTAGCATTTCTAATTCTAATAGCGAAGGGACAATAAAATTAAGAGATTCTGGGGATTTTGTGGAATGCTAAAATATGAAAATATCTTAAAATGTACTTAGTGGCATATCTATAAATGCAAAATATTTCAACTTTTGCTGCTGTATGAATAGCATCCACAGAATTTGATAAACGTTCTGCACTGCTAAATATGCTTAAACCCTTTGATGAGCAGTGACAAGGGTGACTAAAAAGGATCTTTATATTATGGAAAATATTTTAGGGTGGGTTTTTTCTTTCTTTTTCTTTTTTTTTTTTTAAGAATTATATCTGAAGAATGTTTAATTCGGTTTTGGGCACTTTTTAGACAATCATTTGGCACTTCAAGATTTAGGTTCTTAGGCACAATGCGACAAGGTGAGTTTGGCCAGTCCTTCACCGTGCATCCTGTAGAGCAGCTGGAACTCTGCAGGCAGCTGGTGGGACTCCTGCCACTTGGTCGTGAACTTCGTTCCCTTCTTATCATAGTAGTGGTACGGGAGGTCCTCCCGCGTGTTGGGGTCGAACCCGAAGGGCCAGAATCCGTACAGGTGGATCTCCTCACATATGGCAGAAGCAAGGGTGTACATGAGAATACCTGTGCTCAGCCGCTTGGGCGACAAGTGCTTGTTCTTCCAGTATCTGTGCAAAAAAGAAAGGCATGTTAGTTCGAGGTGCAAGTAATGCCGCAGCTTTGCTGTAAAAAAACCCCAATGTTATTGGCTGAGGATCATCAGTGCTGAGAGCTGGCAGCCTGGACAAGGCAAGGATTGCTCTTCAGGTTGGTCTGTAAGGACCAGGAATGCAGAGCAGCCTCAGCAACATCCTCCTCTCCTATGGTCTCCTTCTGAAGGTGTTTGGTTTTTAACCAGGAGAAGTAGTGCCTTATCTAGAAAAGTACGATTCGCCAGGTCCTGCTCACGTTTGCTAAAGAAGTGGCAATGTTACCTCCTTGGGTGTAGTGTAGTTTTCCCCGGACCACCCTGCAGTGATGGGAGCAGAGCCCCATGATGGACCTGCCCCAGTGGGACCGACCAGCCCACCCCTCTGTGCTGGGTGTACAGCTGGAAAGAAATCACTGAAGTACCTACCGAAGCAATAACAACCCTGCGTTTGCTGTAAACACAAGCAATATCAGGTCCTGACTTGTGTGACAGTGTCCACCACACCAGGCACGGATAGAAAAATAAATACAGTCGTGTTTGTACAGACAGACACACACTTTGACACGTTAAAAACATGGCAAAAATACACACCTGTTCACATGCTGCATTATATTTCCCGGCCAAGCCAACTGGACCTTTAGCTGCCCTCTGTGCTCAACAAAGAAATCAACCAGTGTTCTCGTGACTGTCGCTGACGTGTGGAAGAAAAAAGCAGGGATCCAAAGAATGGCCCCATCGAGCTTTTTCAAACTTAAAAAGAAGTTGTTGCGATCCTGAATGGTCAAAAGATTGTTGTAGTACTTTTCCAGGATGCTGGGGTTGAAGGTGGTGAGGTTGGTTTTCCTTCCGACATCTTTTTGGAAAGCCTCAGTGGGAGCAAAATTGCAGCGAAAAACGAAATCAGATTTATCTATCTCTTGGCCGCACTGACTGCCGGTGAGGATCCCGCTGTTCCCCACCACGGCGCAGATGTTGTAGTGCTTGTTCAGGATCGGAGACACGTCGGGGAGCAGCGACCTGAAGTTATTGCTAATGGAGAAAACATACTTGTGGCTGGAATAGTCGTAATGCATCAGCTGTCCAATCCGAACACTGCTCTTGGTCAAAGAAAAATTTTTTATGACGTCGACATGCTGAAGGATTTCTTGCCTGAAATAAAACAGAAAAAGAAAAGAAAACAGGGAGTTATATTTCCCTCTCTCTGCCGTGGAGAGATTTTCTTTCCAGCCAGACTGAAATTTATTTTTGTTATTTTCAATGTAGTAAAGTAGCTTCCTGAGCAATGTGGTGCAACGGCTTTTAATTAATCTAAATAGATGGAACTATGGAGCTGGCTCCTCACCTAGAGCTCCGCTTGGCTTTACTGGGCGCCCCTGGCTGACACCAGCTGAGGATGTGTGCCTGTCTCCTGGAACATTGTTGGGATGAAAGGCTCAGATTCCCTGTGGAATCAGTCCTCTTGCTGAGGGGTGAGGTGCAGCACGGTCCCGCGTGTGCTGTGCCACGGGCCCGGTGGGTCCGTCTGCTTCTGGGGCTTGCCACATGCACTTCACTCTTGGCATGGGCCCACGCATCATTGGCAATGGTGGGTACCGTGTTTGGAGACCCAAGCTGCCCGGGATATTCAGTGGGATTAACGCTGGCTGATTTTAAGATAGGTATATTTTTTTGTGTTCTCATTAAGAAGCTTTGAATCACAAAACCAAGCGACTGTCACTGTCTCCATTTATGTAAAGATAATTCCTTAATGTCTGCTTTGGGCAAGGATGCTGGCATTTTTACAAGGGTTATTAGAGATACTTACAAACCAAACAAAACCAACCCTGCTCAGGAATTTCCCTCGCAGGGCATAAAATTAGAAAACCGATGCCACTTTATTTGCTCGTGTTTATGGAAAACAAACAACCTTTCTTCCAGCTCGCATCCTCCGATGTCTAAACATTAATGGAGTCCCACTGGGTGCCCTAATTATGGGTTATGGCTAACGGACAAGAGCAAAAGCAGATCCTGAAGCATTAGCTAAACTCACCAGTGGGGTGGCACAGAGATAGACTTATGAAGGGTGAGCTGGTGGTGCCAGGAATGAAGCAATACTGAGGAGTGGCCACTGTAATGCCAGCCTGGGAAGTCCCTGGGAAAGGAGGGGCAGGCAAAGTGCCATCTTCTCTCCCTCCTCCAAAGTGCCATCTCATCTTCTGTGGCCCACAGATCCTTAGGGGTGGCGGGCAGTGTTTGTTGGCACTAGGAGGCCAATACAGCAGCAGCACTGACCTGGGCCTGGGGAGTGACCAGAAGGGAGGAGAGAAGCCCAAGCCCTGCCCGCCAGCACCCAGGGGTGCAGCAGCCCCATCCCGACCACCAGCTGCCTGGCCATGGAGCCAAGGATCTGGGCTTCTGCTCCTCAGGCAGGCATTTGTCAGGAGAAAATTACAGTCCAAGATGGTAGTAGCTATCTTATCAGCAAAGATACATATATATATAAAAGCATAAAGTATATATTGACTGATATATGTATGAGTAAAGCCAAAAAAATAAACGAGGCTGCCATACTCCACCAAGTGCACATGACACTGAGAAAACGGAAAGCACATTTTACTTCCCATTTAATATGGAGCAGCTTTCAGGAAGCTGAAGGAGCTGAGAAAAGCTTTCTGTTGCCACGCAGCAGGGGAGTCAGTGCCACCTGCGAACAGCAGGCAGAAGGCAATGCAGAAAGCGAGTGTCTCTGGTGGATCAAAGGCTCCATCTGAACCCCAGAGGAGCAGCACAGCTCTGGCTCAGAACTGCTGGCAGCTGGGAAGTTTAGCTGGGCGTGTGTTGGCCTCCACGAACACGGCATTTCATGGCTGTTAGAGTCCCATTTGTTTCCAGTTTTAAAAACCCAGCCATTTATCTTGAAGTAATGACAATTTCACTTGCACCCCAGGAAACTGGGTCACATTCTGTTTGGTAAAATAATGTGTGTTGCAGCCCGGTGCCCTGCTCTGAAATAATCAATTCTTCCAAGATAGCTGTAACCATCTGGGGAATGCCTTTGTCTCTCACCACTGGCAACTCACCCAGAGCTCGGAGTATTTAGCAGCCCCTGATTGTATTTTCTTAAATCCTGGGGCGAAGGGGACACTCAGGGAGGGTGAGAAGGGTCTGCCACTCACCTCTGGTGCGCGAACGCCGTCCGGTTGAAGGCCCACCTGGAGGGCTTCTCCTGCAGCTCCTGGCCCAGGGAGTTGGTGATGGGGACGAAGGAGGGGTCCAGGAACTTCAGGGCGAACTGCGACCTGGGGACGAGCACACAGACCCACGCAGAGACACACAGACACACACAGGCCCACGCAGACAGACAGACAGACAGACCCGCCGCCGTTACCGGCCCTGCCCGCCTCCGCCGGCCGCCGCCGTCAGCACCACGGACAGCGCCGGCCGCGCCGCGCCGGGATATACCGGGATGTACCGGGATGTGCCGGGATGTGCCGGCCTCCACCGTGCTATACCGGGCTGCACCGGGCGGTACCGGTCTCCACCGGGCTGTGCCAGGCTGCACCGGGCTGTGCCGTGCCGAGATGCACTGGATTGTACCAGGCCGGGCTGTACCGGGCTGGGCTTCACCGGGCCGTGCCGTACCGGGCAGGGGGGTGCCGGGCTGCTCCCCACCGTTCAGCACCCCCGGAGCATTGCGGTTCCCCCGCTCGGCCCGCCCGCCCCCCCCGCTCCCCGGTACCGCGGTCCCCCGGGGGGGTCCCTCCCGCCCCTCGCAGGCCCCGGGCAACCTCCGCGGGGCGCGGAGAAGGGCCGGGGGTGGGCGCGGGGGGAGCCGCATCCCCGCTGCGGGCGAGGGCCGTGGCCGTGGGGCCCTCCCGGGCCCAGCCGGGGCTCTCCCGGGGCGGCAAAGGATGGGATGGGGTCGGGTGGGAAGGGAAGGGAAGGGAAGGGAAGGGATTCAGGGGCATGATAAATTCTTGCTGCTTCTTTGTCTCCTTGCTGCTTCTTTGTCTTTGTTTTCCCTTCCTATGTCTTTGGTTCCCCACATACAGAGGAACTGAAGTCCCATTTCTACCTCCAGGATAAGATACCAAAATCATATATTGCTAA